AATTTGCAGATTGTTTTCACTCTCACAAGCACTATCTTGGTAGTACAAGATCAAAACTGCCACAATTTTTTTTAACAGGGACAACCTCTAAGTCTTGTATAGATTCATTGCAACAAGTTTCCGTGATGTCAAATAAATCTGTAAATACAATGTTATTTCTAAATTTGTCCTCAAGCGGTTTTGTAGTATATTTCCATAGTATCAATCTTTTAATTTGTTTTTATTTGATTCCCGAAAGCAAATCCACAATTTTTATATAGAATAGGAAAGGGGTGTCAAACGAGCACACAGTCCACCTGATGGTAAGTGGATGCTGTGGCCCATAGAAATCTAAATTATTCTTGGACTAAGAATAAAATTCAGATGCGCTGTTACCTGTGAGGAAAAAGAAGGAATACTTCGTTTCCAGTAGAATGGGTCTCCAGTTCTCTATACTCACCATAAAACACAGCAGCCTAAAACTGCTATTTTACGCTGGTAATATATGTGAAGGACCACGTCTTGGTTTCGTAGGTCATCACTGGCAACACGCACTGGTTGCACTACTTAGTTTTCAGGTTTGAGGTATACCTGACGAGAAAATGCGTCGTAATTTCTCGAACGCTGCCCAGCCGAGTCGAATCCGTCGATTGACCTTTCGGTCGAAGTTGGACTTACCTACTCGGACTATTTGTCCCAGGTAAACGTACTCGTCAATAACTTCGAGCTTAGTGCTCCCAACAACTACGCATCTGCATTGATTTAATTTATTCTTAATCGATGATAGATGTTCGAGTAGATGTCTCTGGGCCACAGTATCCACTTACTATCAGATGGAATCTGTACTAGTTTCCATTTAAATTTAAAAATTTACGACGAAACTTAACATTTTCCTTATAAAATGAAATCAAGCTCATTTCATTCAAGTCACGTATTCACAATCTTACATCCTAGGGAATCGGTTCAATGAACTAAGATTTGGCTTGAAACCACAGCGCAGCATGCTACACATGGCATTGGTCGTGGAATACACAATCACTTGAGGTTTTCCTACGGGAACATCCATACTTGCATTACTCCGGAAACTTGGAATCGCTATAACGTCGTTGCAAATTATGTTCAAAATTTCATTACTTTAACCGGAATCTAAAAAAAGAAAGGGGCTTAAAATCCGACAAATGATTCTTTTTGTATGTTGTTACAAGATAATTTCATCAAATGCTAACCTATTTTCATTATTCTCTTTTATTTAAAAGGGGGTGGGTACTTCAGAGGTCGTATAAACTTGGAGAAAAATTATCGACCTTAAGGTTGGCAAAGTAGAGAATGAAGTTTTTAACGTAAATATTTAGACGCCATTGTGATTCCTTAGTTCACTCGAACGGAAGGAGATCAACTAACTTTAAGTAATAATTACATAATTAAACGAACTTCCCCTAAGTGAAATTCAATTTTAATTATATGAAGAGCTTTGTCCGAGATAACTTGGTAGTATCGTTTACACCTTGCTCGATGAACGCGTCCTTTTAGAGTAGATCTAAAACAAAAAGTTGCAACACGAACGCAACCTAACGCAATGTCTCTCAAATGTCATTCTTTTTTAGAGTAAATATAAGAATCTATTGTTTACTTGGGTTAATAAGTTGCAAACTTGCTAAGTGAGGTGGGTAGGGAATTCATATCTCTAACTAATTTCTTCATATAATTAAAATTGAACTTCACTTAAGGTAAGTTCGTTTAATTATGTAATTATATTCAAGCTTAGTCCGAAATAACTTGGTAGATGTTTAGAGTTAATGAGTAAACATATAGATTCTCACTGCATTTGCATATTAAATTGGAACTTAAAATTATAAGAGAGAAAGATAAAAGAATACTAAACTTGAAAATCAACTTTTATTACTTTACTAAACAAAAACTAAAAGCAGGTTGTTATTACAACTAAGTAGTAAAATACGTAAATTAAAAATATTTTTAAAACAAATTTTAATCAAGTAGAGTTTGTCCTACATACTGTTTTTGCAAACAGGTGGTTATCATTTAACAGAGGTCTATTATAATGCCTTGTAAATATTTGAGAGTTTGTTGACCATCCAACTGTCTTTAATATGTTATCTATTGTTAGTCTTTGTCTTACTAGCTTTTGAGCATTAGACGTTGAGGCATGTCTAGTTGAATGTGTACACCACATTCAACAATGTGCTTGTACCAATACCACTTTCGCTCATTACTTGTTTATGCCACCTATTTATGCTTTGACATGTGGCTGCTCTAAAATGGTTTTCTGAATGTTATAAAGATATTTTGTGTACATCCATCCTGGTCTCTCAGCGGTGTCAATGTAAAATAATAAAGTTTATGCTGGGCAAATCTCAGGGTTTTTTTAAATATGGTTGGTTTAACATTGGCTGATGTCTTCCAGGAACAGATGTTTTAAGTAAGTCTGAAACTAGTATTGTAACATGTGTCTCAGTCACACTTACATCCCTTAATTTAATTAAAGATAGTGTTTGTATCCTTTGTCCAGTGCTAAGGGCAATCAACATAACACATTTTTTGGTACAGATACAATTGTTGCAAATAATTTAGGACTATTGAAGGGTCCCATGTCACACTATATTTTGGAGTTTGCGGTCTAAGCCTATATTCTCCTTTAAACCATCTTTTTATTGCTTCATCTGTTCCTAGATGTGATCCTATTATTAAGGAAAGAGTTGATCTATGGCAATTAAGGGTCCGATAACTGCACCCTTTATTATATAACTCTGTTAAATATTCTATTATATTAGGCACTGATGCCCTGTAGATTTCATGTTTATTTTGCATACAGTAATGCCACCAATGTTTTAAACATGTATTATACTGTTTTAATGTATTTGATGACAGAGATGCTAACATCAAACCACATGCCGACTCCAGGGTTTTATTTAATTGGAACGCTGTCCTGATAATATGCATGCCCCCAGGGTAAGTTGTGCATGGAGTGGGTGTGGTGTCCAGGGCTGAGCAGTCCAAACAGGAAAAATAATGATGTCCCTTGCCTTTTCATTCCTAATTTTTTGAATTGTTTTTAAAAGAACTGAAAATGGTGGAAATGCATAAAAGTAGAAATCAGACCACCTTAATGTAAATGCATCTATATTCCATGCTTCTGGATCTCTTCCCCATGAAACATATTTAATACATTTTTTATTAATCCTAGATGCAAAAAGGTCAATGTCTGGTTGACCAAACATTGTGACCACCCTGTTAAAACTATCATGTGATAATTCCCATTCAGCATCTATATTTCTATTTCGAGATTCAGCATCTGCTTCTTTATTGTCCTTTGATTTAATGTAAGAGGCAAAAACCCATATCGTTCTCTTCTCACAAAACTGCCCCAAAGATCGAGATAAGTTGTTAAGCTTAGGATATTGAACTCCTCTCATACGATTAATATTAAATTGCAATTGTACTCGTATTATCAATTCTCAATAATATTTCAAATTTTTTTATATTTTTACAAAACATTTTAAACCAAAGTATGCTGCTAAGAGTTCTAAATAATTTATATGGTTTTGTTTATCTTGAATAGACCAAAAGCCTCGTGCCACTTTACCATTACAGTGTACTCCCCAACCTGTATTAGAAGCGTCAGACCAAATTTCTAATATAAAATGATACTGTTTTATTGGATTATATGCAGTATTAATCTTATTTTGCCACCATAATAAATCTAACTTCACATTTTCATTTGTTTTTCATAGTCTCCATTTGCTCTTTTTAAAGCTATGTATTTCTCCCTCTCAAATATTTTTGTATATACAAATCCATATGATACTGCCATACATATAGATACAAAACTACCTATCAGGGCAGCAAATTCTCTAATAGAACAGTCCTTTAACTTAAGAAATTTATATATTGCATAAAAAAGATTTCTTTTTATTTTCTGTGGGTTTTAATATCATTTTTTGTGTATTTATGACAAAACCTAAATATTCTCTTTCTTGTGACGGAATTAAATTACCCTTTTTTAAATTAACTTCAAAACTTAAAACCCTGGAGTAAATTTACAGTCTTAAGAACATTTTCTAGGTATTCTGCATATAAGAGTCCTATGCAATTAAGATCGTCTAAATAGGCAACATTTATGTGGCCTTGACTTCTGAGATGTTCTACTATGGGTTTTAGTAATTTTGTAAAAGTATATGGTGCAGTAGACAATCCAAACGGTAAACAATTGAACTCATACAAGATTACTTTATATTTAAAACTTAAAAACTTTCTGAAATCATCATGAATACTAATTAAATAGTATTCATTTTGTATGTCTAATGTACACATATAACTGTCCTTAGTCACCATTTTGCATAAGGTACGAATATCTTCTAATTTGAAGTGTGGAGGATTTATGAATTTGTTTAGGGACTTAAGATTTAAAATAAATCTATGTGATTTATCAGGCTTTGGAATACAAAAAATACTAGATAAATATTGACCTTTTACAGGAGCCCACTGTGAAATAGCATGTAATTTATTAACTTTTTTATTTCTATAGACATAGATTAAAACTACTTTTACGGATTTTATCGCGTTTTATTTATATTAATTTTAATACCCGACGTTTCGGGTGCTTTCCAGCACCCATGGTCACGGGGGACTGAGGTGACCATGGGTGCTGGAAAGCACCCGAAACGTAGGGTATTAAAATTAATATAAATAAAACGCGATAAAATCCGTAAAAGTAGTTTTAATCAATGTATAGTGTTCGCGTAAATATTAGAAATCATTCTATAGACATAATCTTATCTTCTAGACCTGACAACCCATCACTTAGTGGTAAGCAATTTTGAGTTGAATTATCAATAAAAAGAATTTTATAATAGCCCTGTATCCATGATAAAATTGTGTTGTATTTTGTAAGTTTATGCCAGCAGTTATAAAAATGTTTAATTTGACCAGCAAAATGTGTTACTTCTATGCGTATTTGGCACGCTGTTGTCAGGAATTCCTTGACTTGTGAGGTTGACTACGAGTCACTGACGGTGCTTCGGTCCAGGACCTTGGTCGCCGGCCGTTGAAAGTTTTGATTTCCCCTGAACGTCTTCCTCTGGGTCCCTTGTTGTTGAGGGGAATAGCAGTTTTTTGTTACAGTATTGTGCCTTGTCTTGAAAGGTTTTTTATAGGTTTATTTAACAGGTTTGAGGCAGATTTTTGGAGAATTGTTGCAATCTTTACACATTCACTAATTTTTTCACTAAATGAGAATTTATCCCGTTTGAGATCACCAAGAGTCTTGAATATAGTTTTATCCAAATGTGGTAATAATAGATTACTTTTAAAATCAATGTATTTTCTGAGTGAAGGTGGTCCAAATTCTGGTCGCATCTGTCATGTTTTTAAATATATCTAATTTATTAAATATTTGTTTTGTTAAATGATCTATACATTTTAATAAAGAACCTGTGGCTAATCCTAATAGATTTTGGCGGTTTTCAATTTTCTTGTCTCTTGTTTTAACTGAATCCGCTACCATATGTAATTCAGGATTCAGTAGTGGTGCTTCTAACAAAATGGCATTTTCCGGTATTAAGTGCTCTTTGATATATGTTTCAATGTTTTTCTTATTCAAACCTTCCATCAAAATACCTTCGACTCTTTTATATATCTCAGGGTGAATTGGTTGACCATAAGAAAATTTAGTATTAATCCGAGGACCCATGGCTTTTATAATATCCTCTTCTAACTGTTTTTCTTTAATTTCCATTATTTCTACCTCTTCCTCCTCCTCTGGTTCAATATTTTCAAGAATAATCTCCTATTATGATGCAATACTTTCCACTGAAATTCAATAATTATAATAGTATAAATACATTATGCAAATTTTCTTATATTTGCCTTCATTTCACACTCTTATTGTTTAGAGTTGCAAAGCCTATAAATTACTTATAGTTTTTTAATATAGTATCAATGTAATGGTTTAATAGTGACACTCACTTTAAGGGGCCTCCCATATTAATGGTATGGCATGACTATTATCCCCGCGGGATAAGTCAAAAGCAACACTCACTTTATGAGTTTGTGACATATTATAACCAGGCATATTATGACTGGTCGACTAATCCCCACGAGAAAGTCGTGATTATGCCCCACGAGATAGTCTCAAATGTTAACACAGAAAATTGTGTGTTTTGGTTTGAGGATAAGTAAACCATATTTTTAAATCCCTATAAAACATTCACGGTATAAACAAAACGGATCTTTTAAAACGATTTGTTTAATTTAATGTATTTATAAAACTCCATATAAATCGGTTAGTTAATTTCCAATAATTTTATAAAACTTTGAGTCATAATAAAAGCAGACTTCCCAACATCGCCAACCTCATTTTCGTTTCTATTATCTTTTGAATGTTCGTCTTTACGTCTTTTACAACGTTCATATTTCTTCTTATATTTGTTCAACTTCCTTTCTAAATGTTCTTCTTCTGACTCCTTTCGTCTTTTAGGCATTTTAAGGAACTGTTGAGCAATCCTCCACTAGATGAAGTGACGATCTGATAAAACATGCAGGGATTTTTGCAATCTATAGGGAGGTCTATGTTCAGCAGTGAAATTATGACAGACTGTAATGATGATAATGAAGAAAATGATACATAATAATATGTTTTTTACGCCTATTCGGGGTAATAATGATCCACCTGGACTGTCAGTGTTTTTTAAAGAATAAGGGTGACAAACAAGTACATATTCCACTGAATAATAAGTGGATGTGATAACCCATAGATATCTACATTTATTCTTGATTAAGAACCAAAAAGCAGACGCATTGTCACCCCTGAAGACTAACATGGCATGCCCGGTTTCCGGTATAAAAGGATCTCCAGTTTCCGACATTTACCATACATAAACACAGGAGTATTAAGCTGCTTACGCTGATATTCTGTGCGAGAATGTGATTCATTATTTCACAACCATATTATACCTGCAGATTGGCTCTATCATGAGATCGTTTATCACTTTATTTAAAAAAAGTAATAATACGAAGGTTGATGTTTCTACAATAGTTTTATTTTTGAAAATACATTATACCTAACTCATTATTGTTCTCAGTTCTTTCAAACGTTGGCTTTATTTAAGAGAAGCACAAACACGTACCTCATTCCTCACTCGCACGCTTCAGATTTGGGCGTTTTAATTCAATCTCTAAAGTAATCAACACTCCTTTATGTAGACGGTGTACTGAAGTCTTAAACATTGAGATATTATGCGTATACTGTCGTTTACAACGGATCACGAATTGAATTAATTTAAGAGCGCTGTATGAGTGTTATAAAGTCTAAGCGACAGAAAATTTTGATTTAAATGTGTGACTAACTGACGTCATTAGTGCATTACATAACTAATATCCACCCTCTGACTTATTAATGTCGCCATATAACAGTGTTCACATTGGTGTGTTCCGATGATATAATACAATATCTTTATTTCAGGCATCAGTAGGCGGTGAGACGTACAAATTACGAGTATGTAAGATGCTGTATCAATTTATTTTTATATTATTATTTTATGACATGATCGCGATATATCACTGCAAGATAGATTTAAGAATGAGGATATCCGCAGTGGAACCAGAGTAACCTACTTAGCCAAATGGATTAATAAGCTGAAGTGGCGATGAGCTAGTTATATAGCTCGAAGAAACGACAAAGGATGGGAAAGAAAATTTCTTGAGTAGCCACCTCGTACCTGTAAGCGAAGTATATAGAGTGGCCCCCACTAGATATAGTGAATACCTGGTAAGATACAGGAAGTCGATGAATGCAATAACATGTTTTGTAGCGTTCCTCGGGGGGGAAGCCCATGTTTAGCGGTTGACTTGTGAAGGTCTGCAATAGATAGATAGATAGACATAAACTAGTGATTAATAAAATGTTTTTTTCTTACAACACAAGGTAACAAGTATAAAAGATAAGTCGGTTAAGTGTAATCCTGACTGAGAGTGAACCTCTTATGAAAATAAATGTTAGTGTCGTCCGGAGGTGGTTACTTGCCTAATAAATTATCCGGATTGGCTGTCCACGTAAATTTATGTATTCAAATAAATTTGATTATTTACGTATTACTGAAAGTGATAAATAAAGTGATATGTTTTTTTTTTAAATCAAAGTTTATCGCTTTATTTTGCAATACAGGGTTATATTACAATAACCGGTCAACTTTGCAGAAAAGGTTCAGAACAAGTAAGGCCAAATGGTGAAGAAAAATTAATTAATGATATCTCAAACATTCTGTCTTATTTACCTTTTAAATTCAAGGGTCTTATTAAAATAAGCATCTAATACAACCAACTTGTGCAAAAATATCGTATATTTGCAAACAATACATGTAGCCAAATTACCTTAATATTATTTTCTAGTTATTTTACATCTATCAGTCAATTGGCAGATGATAGTTACAAGAGAGGTACGAGTCAAGACCAAATAGTTGACCCAAGTTATTGGGGGCATCATTAGAATGTGAGGGACAATATACGTACTTTAATTAGCCTCTTGTGTAGGTAAATACAACAAGTTTCAGTGCATCTACTTCTTTCATTTTATTTTTGACTAATCCCGAAGTATACATCATTTCCGGGCATATAACATACAAGGCAAAATTTAGCTAGAGGATTAATAGCAGAGCATGGTCTGCCAGATATTCTTGGGGCTATTTACTGCACCTATGTTGATATATTTCGCCCACCATTCTCAGCTGGTTTTCAGTACAAGAAAATGGCGGACTACAATAAATGTTCAACTGGTAACGACAAACAAGTTATAGTTTTTTAAAAAAACCTTCTTAAACCTAATAATCCAGTTCTTTTGAAATAAATGATAGTAGTATTATATAATATATATAAATAGACGACCATCCCCACGGCTACGGGTGCCTATATAAGTCCCATAGCGGTAATACCGAAAGGGACCGATTTATCGACCAAGTCCAAATGGCTACAGATTCCGTGCTACAGCAGACCCCATCCACAGAGATCGTGATCCTTGGCGATATTAGCGCCCACCATGCCGAATGGCTCAGTTCACGTTTAACCGATCATGCGGGTAAGTCTGTTAATGACTTTGCCTTGGCATATGTTTTGACACAACTGGTTACTTCACCTACGTGGATCCCAGATGTGGAAGATCACACATCTTCCCTGTTGGACCTTCCGCTGACCTCTCATCCGGACGCATATCAGGTTTCCGTTGACACCCCTCTAGGCGGATCATTGCCTTGTCTGGAGTGTGGTGCTAGTAAAATTAACGTCGTGTTTGCATTCTGTAGGGTGCTGCCGTGTTTTATAGGGGATTGGCCGATTAAGATAGGGCGAGTTTTCTAATCGCATTGCGTTGATGCTGATTCTGTTGCTGACGTAATCATTCAGGGTATGGAATTTTTAATTCCAACCTATGTGGTGCCTATTGAAGGCAGATCCCAGCCATGTTTTGGTCGTCACGCTATAAACAGGAGTGCCACCGGGATTGGGGACACATTAATGAAAATTACAAGGGATTGCTCGACAACCCATGCCGGAATTGAGCTTATAAAACATATTTTTTGTGCATGGGAGAATTTAGATACCCTCTAAATTCTCCCATGCACAAAAAATATTTTGTGACTGTGTTTGTGTCTACTGTGTTCACCATGAGACATTAAGCAGGGAGATACAGTGTTTTAAACTAGTTATTACATATTTAAGTAATAGAGTACAGAAAGTTGTTATCAATGGTAAAAGTTTTTCCGGATGGCCCCTACACATGGGTGTCCCTCAGGGCTCAATTCTTGCCCCATTCCTATTTTTAGTGTATTAAAGACACCTTCTTCACCTTCTAAAGAGAGAAATACAACTACATCCGATCGTTCTAATTATAAAATAAATAAGTTTGGAGTGCCACAGGGTAGCGTTCTGGGTCCTATATTGTTTTTATTATATATAAATGACTTACCGAGATTGACTAAACATCAATGCATAATGTTTGCAGATGATATTTCCATTATTGTTAAATCAAATTATAATGACAATTTAAATAATTATGAAAATGACATTAATAACACAATTAATAATATAGTCCAATATCTTAAATTAATTAATCTAAATGTAAATCTGAATAAGACAAATTTCATAAATTTTAACATAAAAGGACGAGCAGCAAATAATCTTAATGTGCTGTACAAAAACATACCCATTGAAAGGACTACCATGGTCTCATTTTTGGGTGTAGTACTTAACGAGAACTTAAATTTCACTGGCCACATTGATAAAGTTTGTAATAAAATTAATAGGTTTGCTTTCGTCTTAAGGCGTTTAACTAAGATAACGACTCTTAGCGTAACTATGTCTGCTTATTATGGTTACGTCGCGTCTAATATTAATTATGGTCTGGTTCTGTGGGGCAACAGCGTTGAAGCAAATAGAGTTCTCATCGCACAAAAAAAATGCATACGTGCTATATGCGATAAAGGACCATTTGATACATACAAGCCCCTATTTATTAAGCTGGGTATATTAACAGTCCCTGGCATGTACATATTGGAAATATATAAATTTGTCAAACAACATGCAGAGTTATTTAAGTCAGCTTGTGATATATATCCACGAAGCACTAGAGATAGTAAACGGCTTGTCTTAGACCATAAACCAAAAACTTCTGTCAATTAGAAAGGTTGTTACTGTATGTGTGTAAAAATATTTAATAAAATTCCAAAGCAGTTCAAACACGGCTCTATGATTCTCATGACCAAAAAGTTACGTGAATGGCTAATAAGAAAATGTTATTATAGTGTTAAAGAATTTCAAAATGATAATAATATGCATGTTGACATATGATAGACGTAATTGCTGTGTATTACTGCGTATCACTGTTTTATCAGAACTTTATTTTTGATGGATTGTATTTAAATTTTAATTATGATATTGATATAGTAAATTATGACATTTTGAATTATATAACTTACATTTAATAACTTGACATTTTAGAATTGACTACCAGCTATATTATTTGGTAATTTAAAAAAAACAGTTGCATGCCGTATCTGGTGGCTAAATAGGTCTTTAAGCAACTTATTTTTATTGTAAAAAACCTATCACTTACCCTATTTATGACAATTAAATAAATTTGAATTTGAATTTGAATTTCTCTTGTAGGGAATAATCATGATAAAGTATTATTTGCTGATGATACTTCCTTGATTTTTAAACTTAAACGTAAATCTTTAAAAGGTGACGATGTTAATAATGCTATATCGAAATTAGTGCATTGGTTTAAAGTTAATAATCCACATTTAAACGGCAATAAAACTTTATGTATTAAATTTAAAACAACAAATGTTTATTATCCGAGTACCAATGTGTTTTTAAATGAGGAAGAACTAAGTCCTGTTGAGTCCTCTGTTTTTCTTGGCATCACATTTTGTTTCGCTCTTTTTAATGAATTACTTTTAATTAATTAATTCCCGTCGTTTCGGGTGCTTTC